AATTGAAACTGCAGAAATATGTAGCTAGAAGAATGAAATCCTTACCTTAACCTCCTGGCCCAATGAAAGATCAATGCCTTGAGCCAATGTTGGTCAAGTACATATTGTTTTAAATTCCATTACTAGGCAGAAAGGGACGTGAAGAAAGCTATCAACTGGAGGACCTGGGTCCTAATTTTTGCTGGTCACTTGACCTTTCCAGTTCTTAGTTTCCTCAGATATAAAATGAGGAGATTGTACAAATAATCTCCAAGACATCATTCAGCTCTGTAATTCTATGATATCCAGGTACTAGACTATTAGGTCCCAGCATTATGTTTTGAACATTACATTAAATAATATGTAGGTTGTGAAATAGGACACAAATTGTATTACTTTTGCTGAGTGTGGCACCTTCGTTACAGAGCAAGTTACACTTGGGCTTCAGAAATTGTCGATGACAGTGATGATGCGTAGCTTCCAAGTATCATTTGATTTGTTTCTCTTTGCAAGTATTTTCAGGCCCAATGAAAATAAGTGGCATTTAGAATGGTAGTAAATGTAATCAAAGGTGAAGGAGGACAATACCTTTTGTCTACTATGTTAGGTGTTTTATGGATGTTGTACTTCAAAATAGGCTCATCATCCCATTTCTTAAAGGAACACTTGCCCAAAACTCTGCAGCTAGTAAATGGTACTTTGGAACATACGAGTCTATCCAGCTCCCGTCTACTAGTTTTGCCTGCAATCCTTTCATACACTGAAGCAAATGGTGCCATATCTCAGCTGTCTCCTTACCTCTTGTCCATGGCTTGAACACTAACTCACTTCTCAAGTAAAGGGATATAAATGAGCAGCAGAAGAAGGCCTTAGAAAAAGGGAATGGGATTGAAAAGAGAACTCTCAATTGCAACCTCACCCCAATCCAGGCGCTATCCGTGGATAACTGGGGATAAGAGGACCTGGTGCTACTCTGAGTAGGACTTACTCTTAGTGGTCAGTTTTCATGGGCCCTAATCTGCTTCCGAAAAGGAGATCACACAGTGAGGAAAAAGCATCTAACTCTTAATGCAACGTCATTGGAACAGTTTCTTTTTCTTTTTTTTTTTTTTAGATTTTTTTTTTTTAATTGGGGAATTGAGGATGGGAACAGCGCTGGGGAGTTGGGGGAAGGGGAACAGACAAGTTGCTTTTGTTTTGTTCTTCAGTCTAGTTGTGGAGGACGTTGCTTCACTGGCCCAAGTTGGCACCATCATTGCACTCTTCCAGGTGGAACAGTTTCTATGCTTTTGGTTGGTTTGTTTAATTTGCATTTCTCTTTTTTTTTTTAAAGACACACTAATTTCATGACTCAGGTCCCTTTCAAGAAAACATAAATCAAGGTAGGACATTAGAATTCATAGAGCAGAATTCAGTATAAGGAGGGGTGGTCTAGCTGAATCACTGTGGAGGCTTGTGAGTCTTCCTTACAGAGATAAATGAGGACCATTCAAAAGGCTGATATGATAGCCCACAGTACTCCCTTTAAGGTGTAGAACATTGTTATTTGTGACTTAGGAAATTTACAGAAACAGTCAACTAGTGAAAGCCATCAGGCATTTAGAGACAAATATCTCTCAAGAAAAATACATTCTTGCCATGTTAAACAATAACCCAAACCCTTTGCTTTTAAATGTGAAAGGAAAGAATGAAAAATCATACTTATTTTTCTCTTTTTCTTCTTATGATATCATTTTGGCACCTACTTTCATAATGAAGCTAAGAACATAATCTATTGTACTAATTGCTCTAAGGGTCTTAGGAAGATTATCTCCAATTTAATTAATTTTTTTTGTTATAAATAATGCTTGTTATAATTCATTGAAGGGTGAAAGTATTTTCTATTTTAATAGTGCAAAACATCAGAATGAATAACTGGTCAACTATATATTAAAAATTATCATACTTTATTCAATATATGCCTAATGGAACCTGACATCTTAGTTAAAATTTTTATAAGGCAGAGCAGGTTTAATAATATTGGTCAGTATTATTGTTCTCTGTATAACATGTTTTCACTGGTTACTCCCAAGCTTGCTAAGATGTTTGGATAACAAATGGGAAAATATCACACCACAGGCAATATTTACCCATCCAACAGGCAAAACAAGAAAATGGAACCCAGGCCTAGAATCCTCTAGTGTTACTCAATCAAGGCAAGTTATTTATTGTCTTCTGCCCAGTAGATCCCATGGGGCATGAAATATTGATTTAGGAATTTGCTGGGCATGAATATCTGTGTGTTGCAACTATGTTCTTTTATATAATTTCTTAATATATGATAAATTGTTTCAATCTATGCTGTGATAAGGCTGAATAAGAAATTAAATCTGGCTATTTAATAAACATAAAAGGTAAATCCTAGACTTTTTCTAATGACTAATTTGAGGTCATTAAAGTTCACTCCACAGCGTGTAGGATTGCACAATGCAGTGTTTAGATCCATTCCTAGCTTCATCTCTTCCTTCATCTCACAAGCCCACAACCTCTGCTGCATCTCACGAGACCTGATTCCAGTCTTTCTGGGAATGGAATTTGGAGAGACTGGTTCTTCTTCATGGTTCACCTAGGACTTCTCAAAGCCAGGACATTCTCAAAGTATTGAGGAGGGGCTAAAGCTGGGCCAAGAGGAAGTTTATAGTGTGAAGAAGAGCAGGGGTTATTCATTATCTGAGCAGAAGAGGAGGACTCAAGTATTTGTGAATGGGGGGGGGGGCAGCAAGCCACAAAGCACAAAGAATGGCAACATAGAAAGTTATTTTATGAGCTAAAAATTTTGCTCGGTACAATTCTACACATCCATATAGTATCCGATATTAAAAATAAAGGCCACATATTAATGTACAGAACTAGTATTTATTTTTTTGCTCTACTCACTTGGTACTTTTCATGTGAGATCAGCATAGCAGTTACTGAAGGAAGACTCTAGAGTCAGACCGCCTGGGTACTAACCCAGTCCTGCTACTTTCTGAGCATGTGGTCTTAATCACCCTTGGCCTCAGTTTCCTCATCTCTCAGATGAGGACTGCAAAATTACCTCTGTTGTAAGATTAGTGTAAAGGAAAAACTATAGATATATAGGATGCGTTTGTACATAAATATATGTAGTACGCATGTCATATATTTTTATATATGTATTTTATATTCACCTGAAACAGTGCCTGGTATATGTCTAAATCAATAATGTTCAGTGGAATTATCAAATTCACTGTTGTTTTATAGTTTTTATCTAACTTCTCGTATCTGTAGGCCTTGTCTTCCCTACTCTCTGTAAACTCCGTGAGGGTTGGGAAGCAATCTCTATTTTGCTCCATGTTTTTCTTTTTTGTTATCCCATCTGTTGAGGGTTCACCTCTCCCCTGTTTTCAGTCCATATGATTTAGTGGCAGGTGAACCAGGTCTGGCCAATTACTGTTGTATTCATCTCACCAGAGGGAGTGTATATGACTCAAGCTTGGATATGCAAGTCCTCACCAGAAAAAGGTTTACTGATGCCTGAGATGGCTTGCATTATGCTTAGTAAACCCAGAACACTGGGAGTGGCCATCTTTGTCTCCTTTGGAGAGACAAATCAAGACAACACTGAGAAATATAGAGCCAATGGGTGGAGAGGGTGGTCCGTGGGGACATCGTTTGAGTTTCAGGTTTCAGTCTTGCTCTTTGGATCTTCTGCTTCTATGAGAAAATAGATTTTGTCTTTATTTAAATTTGTATTAGATTTGCTACCAAATTATACTAATATATTTTTTCAAATCAACTTGGTCTGCATAGTCTTCTTTGATGCCACTGACCTTAAATAAGGCCATGTACATAGAAGACAACCAACATGTATTTATTTCATGCATGGATGAGTTAAAAATTTTAAAACTCTCAAAGTCCATGAGCCCATTAATTTAATCTCCTGTGAATTACCATACCGTTTCATGCTATTCAAGTTCAATGTAAGTGTTTTGACATAGAAACAAATCTTTTTGTAGAGAAACAGGTGATGCAGCCTTGAGGATCATATTGGATGAAGGAGATTGCTGAGAAAACTGCTTGAGGAGACCAGGAATTTAGCATTGGAAAAACGGATTTCCTTTCAGCATAACTAATTTCGTGGTCAGCTCAGTCCCTTAACTTCGCTGAGCACCTTCTTCATTCACAAAATGGGAAAATAATATTTAAGTTTCAGAGTTGATGTTAAGCTTAAAGGAGCTCATTGATGAGTGAGCTAAAAATGATACAGGTGTTATTTGTTGATTCCCCCCCCCCCCAGGTACACCTATTGCAACTGGTGATACACACCTGACAAATCATGAACCTAAATGTGTTTAAAACTGTTTATCCTGTAACATGCACAACAGGAGGCACATTTCAGAAGAATATATGTAAACATACGCGATCCTATTTGGGCTGGGATGTGACTTTTGCAGGGACTACTCAGTGTCCTGCCTCAGTAAAAGGAATGGTTTCGCTGCCACGTTATCCCCTAGAATCCCTTCCGTTTTGCTATTTCAGGGTTCCAGAGGGCAGATGTGATGCTGTGCTTAAGACAAGTTCCTAACAGGCCCTCTAGCCATCCCTGCAGCTCAGTACCTGTGAGCAGCCACTCGTTGGGGTGTGTGGGGTGGGCGTGGCGAGAAGCACCTGCTCCGGGGCTCTCCTTGAATCTTGCTCCAATCCCTTCATTTTAAGGGTGTAGCTCTGCAGTCTCTTAGCTATTCCCTCAAGTGTGCTTTATGAGATCCGGTTTCAATCCCCTGGTGGGTAGTTCTCGGGTCCCGTTACAATTCCCCAGAGCTCCGTGTGTGCGTGTGCAGGAGGGACACAGCCAGGGAGAGACCAAGTGACGGGACTAGGCTCCCTGGCTCCAGTTACCGCCCGGCACGGCCCCCGCCCGGCGCCGCCGAGTGAGCGGCCGGGCCGGGAAGCGCCGCGGCCCCTTTAAGAGCCGGGCCCAGGCCGGCTTGGGGGCCGCGGGAGCCCAGAGCGCGGCGCGCAGCGGAGGAGTTGGGACCGGCGCAAAAGTTTCCTCCCAACTCCGGCCCCGCGCGCCGCCGCCACCGCCCACTCCAGCCCCCGGCCTGGGGCCGACCCCGCCGCCGCCAGGGCCAGGGCCAGGGCCAGGGCAGGGCCGGGCCGGGCCGGCAGTTTCGCTTTGGCGCGCTCGGAGCAGCCGCCTCAGCCGGGCCCTGGCAGGAGCTGGAGCAGGAGCTGGAGGAGGAGCCCGGACACATTGCCGCCGCGTCCTGGCCCCCAGCCACCTGGGAGGTAGATTGGACCTACCCCCTGCCTCCAGCTCCCCGATTCCCGCCCCCCGAGGCCACCTGCCCGGGGTGAAGGGGCGCTGCTGCGAGCCCCGGGTGCAGAAGGGGTGCCGGGGAGAGGCGCCCCGTGTTTCCGGGCCCGCCTGAGCCGGGAGTCCCCCGAGAGTGGGGGCTGCACCCGCGGGACCAGACACCTGTTCGGCCAGGCCTGGCGTGGTCGCCGGGGGCCAGGATGAAAGTGACCGTATGCTTCGGCAGGACCTGCATCGTGGTGCCTTGCAAGGAGGGCCAGCTGTGCGTCCGGGAGCTCACGCAGCAGGCGTTGCAGCGGTACCTGAAGACCCGAGAGAAGGTGAGCGCGGCGCGGGAGGGGGTGGGGGTGGGGGGCGCACGCGCCGGGCAGCAGGAGGAGGGCGCAGCTGCAGGGTGGGATACCCGCGAGCGCACAGAGGCCAAGGCACCTGCCAGGTGTCCCGAGGAGTGGGTGGCGACACTCAGGGTACAGAGAGCATCCAGGCGACTTGATTTGTCACACTACCTGTGGCCACAACTTCTGATTGCTGCTAATATTAGTGACCTGGGAGTTTTGGGCCATTTGTGGGCCTTGCTTCTCAAAGGGCGTTGGGAGGAACCACAACATGGGAATGCCTTGGGGGTCGTTAGAAATGCACAGTCTGGTGCCCACTGCCTTGGAATTTGCTTTTAAACAAGCTCCCAGGTGATTGGAATGACCATTGGAGTTGGAGGAGCATTCTTTTAGAAGTTGTTTGAGGGAACTGTTCTTAAGAAAATAAATACTTGATGGTGCTGCAAACAACCTCAAGTGTGATTTTGTTTTTTTAATTAACTTTTATTGCGGTGACAATTGTTAGTAAAGTTACATAGGTTTCAGGTGTACAGTTCTCTAATCCATCATCTATATATCACATCGTGTGTTCACCAGAGTCAGTTCTCCTTCCATCACCATATAATTGACCCCCTTTATCCTCATCTACCACCTCTCCTCCCTGCTTACCCTCTGGTAACCAGTAAACTATTGTCTCAGGTGTGAATTTTGACCTGCTAAGGCCCACCTAAATTTGGCTCCTTGGAGTGAGAAAGTTGATTTGTGCAAGTGATAGATACTGGGAAGTTATAACTGATGGTGTTTGGAATTTCAGCTGTCCTCCCTAAGTCACTTGGACAGGAACTTGGGTGGAAGGATGCTGTTTACTTACACAAACCAGTCTACATTTCTAGTGTTTGTAGTTTAATGCCACACATTCTATGAGCGTTTAGTATGTGTGGGGGCTGTGTCAGGTCCTGGATGACTATTGAAATGACGACCAAAACTATCCCCAGCTTTGTCCCTGAAGTCAGAAACAAGTAAAATTTAAGCGAAGCTCAGGAAGTGTTTTTAAGTGTGGAATGCATGTTCAGAAGACTTATCTGGACACTAGAACACATCAGGTGTTGGGTAACATACCTGGCTTCTATGCTTTCTTCAGCAGAACCATTAAATGAGGGCATTGAAGAGCACTTTTTTTTTTTTCAATCTTGAAATGGATCATTTTGTGTGCCTAAGCCCGCCTGAAACAGGACAAGTCATAAACTCTTGCTTTAGAGGCCAGTGGTTCTCTTACTATTTGTTCTCATGCTGTGAGAACTGTGGAAATAGTGTGTTGGCCAATTTAGTGATGGGAAGATGAATTTCTTTTAATGTCTTATACGTTATCCAAGGCATAAAAATAATTTTTGTTTCTTCCACATATATAGTTTAGGCATTTAAGAAAAAAATTGCTGAACCTTCTGTGCCTCCACTAAAAATTATTACACAGAAAAAAAAATTCTACTCTAAATACATGTTTATGTTGCCTTGAACAATAAAGGGTTTGAGAATTGTATAGTGAAAGGCCTGTAAATATTAAATATAATACCCAAAGCTGAACTCTTGACTAAAAGAATTGAGCTAGAGGAGGGAAAATAATCAAAGTGGTCTATAAACTACATGAGTACCTGCCCTAAGTTTTTTTCATTGTTACAATAGCATCTGCTGTTTATATTGTGTAATTCAGTTAAACTGAGATTTACACAAGTAACCAATTGTCTTTGAACTCATAGTTCACTAACTTCTGAAAGTAAACTAAGTTTAATAGTAACAGCATTAGTCTAGACTAATTATTAAAGTAGATCTTGTTGAAGGATTGTCTGAGATGATAAATTATTTTTATTATTAACTCATTAAAAATAATTTATGCCCTAAAATCTTGTATATTTAGAAGTTTAGTACCAATGTAACAGAAGTAACAGAAGTAAGCTGTAAGTGTATAAATAACATACAGGGAACTAACTAGACAATATTTAATGCATTGTAATTTGATCTTAAAAGGTGTTAAAAAGCTATTGATATTCTGGACTGAAAACATAATTTATAATATCACAGAACCTGTAATATAATTGTATCGATCCAGTTTACTATTATTACCAGACATTACATTTTTCTGTTTACATTTATATATTAGTGAATGTGACATTTAAAGGTCACCTGCAGCTTATAAATCCTCCCTCCCTTCTTTGGCTTTTAAAATCTTAATTTAATAAGTGATATTTTCCCCTCCCAAAATATTTCTCTCCCATACTTTCAGTTTAAATAATATTGTAATCATAACAAGGCTTAACTAATATTAAATGGTATTCCTAATGGAACTAAAATGTCAAGAAGTACTCTGACAAATTCCATGCTTTTATCCCTTGAATTTAGAAAATAATGGGAAAAAACCAGAAATGTCAAAATTCAATTTGAAAAACAGCCTGCCACAAATTCACTTTCTTTAAATCAGTGAAAACAATTTTAAAGGCTCGTTTCCCTGGACAGCAAGGTTTTAAACCCTGCATGCAATAATAACAACTAACATGAGTCGTGCTTGCTCTGTTCGGGCACTGTTCTAGGAGCTTTACATGTATTAAGCGACTTACTCCATGAGGGCAGGCACTATCATTCCTATTTTACAGATGGGGTGAAAAGAGACACAGAGATATTAGTAGTATGTGGTGGAATTGGGATTTGAACCCAGGAACTGTGTCGCCAGGTCATTAACTACACAACCTGGTAGGTTACTGTGTATTGAAATTTACCCACTTGTTCCTTTTTAACAGTTTGTTTTAAAAAGACCATCCCATCTACAAACTGCTACAATAACATAACCTAGAGATAGCGATTTTGTTTCTTGCAGAGAGGTGGGACATCCACAAGTTCCTCTTGATTATCTTTTATAGTACAGATGTACATGTTATAAGGGAGAAGTCTAATTTCTGAGGCAGATATTGCAGGATTTGCAAATCAAGTATGAAAAATATTCCCGTCTAATTACAAATGGAAAAATGGACAATATCTCTTAGATATTTAGGTTGAGACTACTGTACAGAAAGAAATTTGGCGGGAACATGAATGTAAATTTAGTCGGTTTCTTCCGGGGCACTGAATAATTTAGATGGGAGAAAGGCAGATTTCAAGATTGAGGATAGACTTCAGGCTTCTAAAGTTTGGCGGGTAAGTGAAGGCCAAGGAGGCCGTGCTGGATTTTGCGCCCAGCATCAGAGAAGTAGCCACTTCCTGCTGAGAGTAAACAAAGGAAACAGGTATTGGTGGAATATGGAGAACCAGAAGTAGGTAGGTTGCTGAAGAAACTGAGGACGGCTTTCATTATGTTCTGAAACCAGGGACTCGGAGGTTTCTGCCCCCTCCCCATACCCTCCCATTTGATGAACTCTACTGGGAAGGTGAATTGACTAATGGGCAAGAATTATAGGATCGCTTGTCTTTGGAGTCTGGTGGTTTATCAGTGTCCCGGGCTCTAAATCCAATTTAGTTAAGTAGTTAGTGGAAAGGAGATTGTCTTCTTAAACAGTCAAGATGGGGATCACTGAGTAATTAGTTAAATTTATCATCAAAATTACGTGTCCCAGGTGAAGAGGCCATCGAGCTGTATCCTGCAGGGGCTCTCAACCCTGGCTGATTATTAGTCACCTCGAATTTTAACATTTTAAACAATACAAATGCCTGAGTTGCTGTCTCCAAGGTTCTCATTCACTGGTTTTGGAGTAGAGTCTGGATAGAGCTGTTTTACAAAGTACTCTAGGTGATTCTAATACCCAGCCAGGGTCGAGAAGCACCAATCTAGGACCACTAATCTTGGTGTCATTGAACTCATTTGACTTGAAATTCTTTTCATGGCAGATAACTGGGTCTTAGGCATCTATAGAGCAATGTGTCATTAGGAACTGTCCCTTTGCTCCTGCCTTGAATGAATTCTCCCAGCAGATGCTCAAATAATTTATTAAATTGAACATTTTAAATATATATATTGAAGTGAATAAGGAATGACTTGTTTAGTAATGAGAGTGTTAGTGTATTCAGAAGTTGAAATGAATGAGATAATAATGAACATTGAGTTCGTGGGATCATGGGTGTGCTGGAGTTTTTCAGAAGCTGCTTTGTGGATCTGACTGCATGAGAAACCTTTCTCTCTTTATCATAAAGAAACATTTGATAGACTTTTCAGAAGGAACCCCTTCCATGTTCAGATATTTTGGATACTTTGTTTTACATGTGGAGACCAGCTTCCCAGATCTAAACAAGTTAAGAGTAACAACTCTATTCCTTGAGATTAATTGTGGGATCGGAACCTAAGAGCATTTGTATAATAATGAGAATCTGGTGCGATATTGTATGGGACTAGCCTGGAAGAATAGCTTAGCAGTCTTGAATTCCTGAACTGTTCAGGGTTGATGTCTTGTTTCTACATTTTAAGATTTCTGTATACATAAACTAGGACCTGCCTGGATTCTCAAAGTGCTGCTTCATTTATTGGGCCTGACTTCCTCGAGTGCTTTATTTCCTATTCAGCTCTCTTGTCTCCTAACGTGTGGACTAGATGTTCTTCCCAGCACGTGGTCAGGACTGTCTCACCATCAGTGTGGCGCTTGCTTCTAACTTGGTTTTGGTTATGCTACACTGAGCAGCCTCCAAATTTGCAAACATAGGCTCATGGGACCCTGCTATGACCCACAGATGTTTTTTTTTTAAGTTCTGCTCAGTGTTATATCTTGACTTAGTTTCCATGTTTCAATATTTTCAGATTTCATGCAAAAATCCCGATTCTGCGTTCTTTTGGGGAAAAGAAGTACAGAAGCTCTGGCAATACTGGGCTTTACTTTCCCACTTAGCAGCCAACAGTTGGAGCTGAGAAAACTTCTTTTGGTTTTAGAAGGAATCGTTAATGCTCTAGCCTCTATTATTGTCTCCCCCAAAGTGAATATAAGTTTTTATTCTCGTGCTTCAACTTTTTCACTTTTGACTCAGTTCTAATTTTC